GAATCAGATGTCCAAACCACCCCAACTGGCTCCTTTTGACATGAAAGAGCAGTGACTGTACTCCGAGCTCCCTCCAGATGTTGGAGATTGTCACCCCATCTCTAAGGCTGAGCCCAGCCACCCTGCAAAGGAAGCTCATTTTGGCCGCTTGTATCCGCAATCTCATTCTTTGGGTCACTACCCAGGGCTCATGACCATAGGTGAGGGTTGGGATGTAGATGGACTGGTAAATCGAGAGCTTTACCTTGTGCCTCAGCTCCTTCTTCACCACGATGGTCTGGTACAGCGCTTGCATTACTGCTGACACCGCACCGAGCCACCTTTCCATCTCATGCTCCATCTTCCCTTCACAAAAAATTGATATTCCAAGACTGAACATTTGACAACAACCTCTATAATCCATGTGTCTTCTTTGACATACAGCATCCATCTAAAGGTAATCATCCTGCCTCCTGAGTGGTTTAATTTAACGCTCAATGTCGTTCTGGAGTAGCTCTAATCTTCCTTCAAGAATTCAACTCAGTCAATTTAAAACTATTTTTAGTGAAGGATTACTTCACACAATGACTGCAAAAGGAAATTTGTGTTAATCCAGTTTAACAGCCTGTCTTATTTTTGGACTAGGCTGAATCTAGATATGGAAGGCTTACAATAAGAAACATTTATGTAAATGTAATTGATATTTTGCATTCGCCAGTTAAAGTTCTCAGGTAAACAGAACTGCTTCACTTTGTAATGAATCACAGAATAGGATCGAGATTCTAGAGATTCTACATCAAAAGAGGAGACAAGTTTGATTTGAAAGCACAATTGAGGCAGGAAAAAAAGATGGTGCCATGTGCGGCTGGCCATCACTCTACTGCTTTATGTCATCCTGATTGTATTTTTAAATGCTTCAAATGTGTCATCGCTCCCAGTGTATGATCGCCTGACTCTTTTAAAGATACATGATTTTCTGGTGAAGCTACAGATCGGTGGCTTTGAGGAACAAGCAAAGACACTGCCACCTTTCCTGGGCTCTATACCTGCATACCTGCGGTGTTCACCTGGTGTCTTGCCCAGCAACAGCTGCCGCCACAGGCGACGCAGCAAGAGAAGTGGAGTCCAACTTATACTCAGGCTATACTGAGGGCTTACCTAGCTTCATCCTACATCTATAATCCTCATCGTCGTTCATCTGTTCGGAACCCCTGGAAATTTGGAAGTTTCGACGTTGTTAGGACTTTGCTGCTAGTGTGTAGGAAGTGGACCCAGAATGTGACGAGGGAGACAATGTCAATTATTAAGAGGGTTTTATTCGGGGCAGGAATGAGGACACCAAGGAAAAAGGAAGGGGGAGTGTAGGTACATGCTGGTCTTCGTGGGGGGAGGTGAGAGGGTTTCTGGGGACTCCAGAGGTATGCTCCAGTTCGAGGGGGGAATCCGTGCATCAGGGAGAAGTTGCTCGTGGCACGTGAATACAGTCGGGGAGAACCGAAGGGCTGCTGCTGCTGCTGGTTGACTGGTGACGGCTGAGCTGGGGGGACGTCAGGCTGAGGAGGCTCTGAAGGGGATGATGAAACAAGAAAGTCAGCACGAAACAAATAGAAGCACGAGAACTTGAGAACTAATCGTGGCCGATCTGCCGCTCATAGGAGAGTGAATCATCTGGCGCTGCATCCTAGGGAGAAGCCGGCTTAAGAGCAATACTGATTATGATGAGGGACAAGTGCGGTGGAGAGCGAGTGAGTCCTCCTCGACCATGGCCCCGCCCAGCCTGAAAATACAGAGCACACAACAACGCAGCAAAACACACACAGGAAATAACAGGAAATAGCCAAAATAAAGGCACGAGACTCGAATCCCAACAGACGTGCAGCTATCCCCGGAATATTGCTACTGATGGCTCAAGCTGGTCATCCCTGAAAAAAAAAAAGTTGTTTGTTTGATTTTATCCAATCAGTTGACAGACCTACGCACCATCTTGATCATACGTTGGATCTTGTCATCTCCCGCAAACTCTCAATTTCCATCAGTGAAATTTCCAAAGCTGTCATTTCAGATAACTTTCACATTATTTTTGAATTTGCAGCCCCTCAAGCGTCAAGTAGGCCACTTGCCTTGTCTTGTCGATGCTGTGTCCTCACCTCCTCAACAGCTGGAGAATTTGCTGCTGCTTTTATGAACACACAAATTTTTAATGATAATAATCTGATGCATTCTTTATGCCCAGACAACATTCTGTCCTGATTTATACAGCACTTGCTCCAGAATTCTGGAATCTACTGCCCCATTTAATTGCAAATTGGCTAAACTGCGAGCAGATCCCTAGGTAAATGGCGCTACTTGTGCCCTAAAGCAACCCTGCCGTCAGGCAGAAGGCATATGGAAGAAGGACAAACTACACATATCCTAGGAAACACAAAAAAACAGAAGAGAGAAATTAAAGAGCTATGAAAGAGGCAAAATGTCAATATTTGTCTAATATTATCTCCACCAACAGTCATCACCCCAGAATTCTGTTCAACACAATTAACTCTGTTATTAACCCATGCACCTCTGTTCTGGCTGGTGCTTCAGTCAAGACTTGTGAGAGCTTCCTTTACTTTTTCACTGACAAAGTTGCCACTATCAGACAGCTCGCCAGCACCAATTTAAATGTTGACTTGCCCATTGCTCCAGCACATTCTGCTGTGCTTGAGGAGTTTGAAGTAGTTTCTTTGTCTGCTCTCACTAAAGTGGTACAACAGATGAAACTTACAAACTGCCTCCTGGACATTGTTCCCACCAAACTATTGGTAAAGGTCTTTAACATTGTTGGTCCTAGTCTGTTGATATTTGCCAAGTCTTGTCTCAGTTCTGGATTTATTCCAGCTGCTTTCAAACATGCTATGATTCGGCCTCTCGTTAAACAACCTCAGCTTTATCCCTCAGTCTCATCTTTTTATGCACACACTTTCACACGTATATATTTTAGTGTCTTTTCTGTTGTTTACTTTTATTTATTTTAGTGTCTGTTTTACTGATGTTTCTATTTGAAGTTATTGTGTTGTCTTTAAGTTATTCTCTTGTTTTTACTGTGAAGCAGTTTGGTCACTGTTTGGGCTGTTGGAAAGGGCTATATAAATAAACTTTCATTGATTAATTGATTGATTGAATTGTGATCTTTAATTTTCTTCTCCTAGTTACTAGGACCTAACAACTTTTAATGGTTATTTTTGCTAAAACAAAACAAACAAACAAAAAAAGAATAAGCTGCTGTGTTTACTGTATGTTTTTTGTAGTTTATGGGAATAAAGTAAATCAATTTTCCTGGATCAGACCGATGTTAGTTGCCCACATTAACGTTTTTCAGAGTATCTGCATCCTTTTGCAATCTAACATACCACCCCTGCATTGCAACCTATGCTCACTTGCTAGCTGTCACAATGTGACTGAACTGCATTGCTGATTGAAAGCATATGCCAACTACATGTTTTCTGAATTTTGTTGGTAGACTGTACGAACAGTTTAGGGAGTCGAAAATAAGGTAAACTGGGAAACATCCATCCATCTATTATCGATACACCGCTTAATCCTCACTAGGGTCGTGGGCTGAAGTCTATCCCAGCTGACTTAGGGTCTATCACAGTCTATCACAGGGCTACACTTAGAGACAGACAACCAAGCACACTCACATTCACACCTATGGACAATTTAGAATCACCAACTAACCTCAACATGTTTTTGAACTTGTGGGAGGAAGCCAGAGAATCCAGAGAGAACCCACGCTGCATGGGGAGAACACGCAAACTCCACGCAGATCCCGGTGACCCCACCGGGACGCGAACCGGCGACCTTCTTGCTGCAAGGCAGCAGTGCTACCAACTGGGCTGCAAGCCCAACTGGGAAACAAATTCAATTAAATGGAGTTATTTGCTTACCTGAATAACTCACATTTTCTGATCTAGTTTGCTATCAGCAGGACAACATCATTTGCCTTCCAATATGTAAAAAGCATTTCTGGTGTGCCATTGCTGTGGCTGAGATTGGGTTAGGTTTGTACAAACAAAAATAAAATTGGTTCGGAAAAGATCATAGTCATTGTTGAAAGAAAACAAGGGTCATATTCACTGATCAGGTATACACACTGCAGGAATAAATATTCTCAATTTTACTTCTAGATAACATAAATTAATGGAACAAAAAGCAAAATAAAGTCCACGGGCCACAGAATCCATATCATTCAAAATACATGTTTAGTACTGCAGGTATTTCTGACAGTCTTCTGTTGCAACACAAATATGATGGATCAGTTGAGAAGAGAAATACTTATTGAATAATACAGTAGAAGACTATCTGTCAAAATTAAGATATTTATGCTTCAGTTGAAATCCCAGTCAATTTCTCCAACAAGGTTGACTTCACACATATCCTATACACAACAATAAACTGTCTATAAAGAAAGATTGATCAATAGGGAGCACAGAATCAGCATCCTCTATAATGAATGATGAATGTCATATGCAATATTGATATGTGCGGTTGTTCTATTGTGTTTGTAAGTATGTTTGTACAGCTGGATCATAGTCTACAGATTTTACTGCAGTGGAAGCTGAAAGACTGTTTGAATGAATTGTGAAGGACAATAGACCAGAACGACCAAGAGCGATAGGGAAACAAGGAAATAAAAAGACACTGAAAGAAAATGTTGTGTTTGGTATTGAAAATAGCAGGAGAGGATAAGGTAGAAGGTTTTAGAGAAATGGATTTCATTAGAAATAAACTGATGACAGAAATATAGCTCTGCAGCTTAATTATTTCTTATCCTAATTCTAATTATAACCACCACTGCCAAATTAAACAAGAATAGTTGTTACCGTCATTACTGTGGAAAGATACATATATTTGAAACCTCCTCTAAGGAAATGGATTGCCCTCATGTCAGTTGCAATTGGACACATTTTTCAAATCACAGTGACTCTTGAGGCAAAAGAAATCCTGAAAATCTATTTGTTTTCTTTGTGTTTTTTTCCCCACAGGTCTGATTCGATTGCAAGAACTTATAAAGGCACCATCCCGGTACAACATCCGTTTAAAGATCCGGCAGCTGCCTGCAGAAACCAAGGATGCCAAGCCCCTGTTAAAGGAGATGAAAAGAGGGAAGGAGTTTCACATCATCTTTGATTGCGGCCACGAAATGGCTGCTGGGATCCTGAAGCAGGTGTGTATACATATTTGTAAGTGTTGTTGTACATACTAAAGATGTACGTTCTTGTGTACTTGTTGAGGTAGATCATAACAAGTCCTCGAAGTAGGAAAGCAGTAGTAGACAGTTGTAAAGGTGTGAATGAAAGATAGCTTCTTAATGTTGTTCCCTGTCATGCAGCTGGATTTAACATTAAGGAGATGCTTTGCAATGAGTAACCTAGGTAACAGTTAGGGTTAGGAGGATTGCCCGTGGAACATTGTGCAGTTTCATGTTTCTTCACTTTTGACAGTTAATTTTGAAGTATGAATTACGAGCCAAGGATAATGATTCAGAGAGACCCATTCTGCAATTTTACAGGATTGGTTCCTTAGGGGGCTGCAAGGTGGCTCGATGGTTAGCACCTAAGGACAATTTAGAATCACCAATTAACCTCAACATGTTTTTGGACTGTTGGAAGAAGCCGGAGAACCCAGAGAGAACCCACGCTGCACAGGGAGAACATGCAAACTCCACGCAGAAAGATCCCGGGTGTCCTCATTGGGACGCGAACCGGGAACCTTCTAGCTGCGACCTCGTAGCCCGTCCAAAAACATGTTGAGGTTAATTGGTGATTCTAAATTGTCCGTAGGTGTGAATGTGAGTGTGCTTGGTTGTCTGTCTCTAGGTGTAGCTCTGTGATAGACTGGCGACCTGTCCAGGGTGTCTCCTGCCTTCACCCTGAGTCAGCTGGCATGGATGGATGGATGGATGGATGGATGGATGGATGGATGGATGGATGGTTCCTTAGACTTATCTTGTATACAGCTCTGGTTGTCTTAATCTGTGTGCAAGACAATCGTTGACACACTGCAGTTTTAAGGTGGAAACGGTGACTGCTTATTTCACTGTCTTTCAGCATATAAAAAACACATAATGAACTTGTTAACAAGGAAAAAAACTTTTCTGTTATGTTATATTGTTTTGCTCACACCTTCATGTGATGTCAAGATGTGATTTCATATGAAAAAAATTGCAGAAGAACTGTAATGCAACACGTGTAGCAGTCTCTTCCAAATAAATCTGTTCATGAATTCTGAAATGGATCAGAAATGTCAATGAAATTTGTGTTATTTTTTATTATTTTCAAGGTTTAATTAAACAAATTTAATAACAAGCAATTTAATAAACCAAACGCCAAAATTAATAAATAAAAAATTAAATACATGAAAATTAAAGTGAGATGCCCACCCAATAATTTTTCTTCAAGGATGGAGTAACACAACAAACAAGTATCCATATGTCCTCTGCTTGTAGGACTTATAAAATATTAAAAACAACATATTCAGCCACTGTACTTTGTCACATTCCAAGGGGTTGGTAATCAATTCTTGAGTGGTAGATTGCTGGGAAAGGTCAAGGACGTCTTTCATTAATAATGTCAGAGAGAAACCCTACTAATGGGAAGTAATAAAAGACTTAAGTGTCCTGCCCTGATATTCTCATCACACGACACACCAATATGTAGGAGACTGTCTTCACTCTTTGTTTGCTATCAGCCAAGCAACCCAAATACAGTAGAAACAACAAGAACTAAAATAAAAAATGTAACTTGGCGAATGCTACCATAAACACAGAATTTTATTTTTCACTACATCCAGCTATTGTTGGTAAAAGATATACTTCTAAAATTGCCAGTTTGCAGTGCCATAGAGACACTGAATCCAAACTGTTGACTAGTACTATAATACAGAGAGCTAGATGTGCTCTATTGTAATAAGAGTATTTTTCATTTTTCCTATCTGTCGTGACACCTGAGTCAGGGTGCAGTGTGTGACAATCCATGTTGATATTTTTAAAGAGGAGCGTGTCTATTTGTGCTTGGTTTACAGCTGTTATACAGTAGTCTGGGCTGTCTACAGGCAGCCTCATTGGATTGCTGTTTCCTTTGCTCTGTTTTTCCTTCGTCTCTTGCCACGAAGAAGGCTGTGGTTCCTATACCAGCATTTTTGGGGTTTTCTTAGAGGTTGGGAGTTGGACTTATGCTACAGACATCCTAAGTTGGCTAAAAGCAGGAAAAGAAGCATCTCTTCCAGGCCTCCTTTTGTCTTCTTTCATCTCTCCTGGCTACAATGGCTATGATTCCTTATACCAGCATATTGCTCAATGAGACCCATGTTGAGCACAGATATTATTAGGTGGCTGACTGTGAGAAAACTTTGCTTCAGCCCAGCCAAGTTCATCTTTCTGCCTTAGGTCAGGTATAAAACCAAAGTGGTTAGACACTTCAGTGAAACATACTGCTTACGGTTGCTAACTTGGGGGTAAGCTGTGTTATGGGCTTAGTTGGTCAACAAATGTTGGTCAACTATCATCTTAAGACTCTCTCTAAACAGAGAGAGTCTTAAGATGATAGAGATCTCACACTGACATTGAAACTTGGTTCTCTAAACTAGCTAATATTCCTGCACAGCTTGTGATATTAAGAATGTGACAACTTCTGAGTTGCTGCCTTTCCCAGCCCCGTGCAAAGAGTGGTGATAACAATGTGTTAAGTCTGTAAATGGCTGTTTGAGCTGGAGTGGGTCCATTGGTTTAACCCTTAGATGCATAAGTGGGTCACAAATGACCCAGTGAGGTCTTTTTTTTTTTGCAATATCTTCGTAGCAAAAAAGTTATCATTTCATATTCCAGCTATTCCTCAAAAAACATGTTTTTGATATCATTTTGCTTAAATTTTTTAAGTTACCTTTCATACTTTTTTAAGAAATTGTAGTATTTGTATCACTACCCCAAGCTTCCATTCGTGGGTCAAAACGACCTGTATGCATTTCCTATAGAATCTCATGGGAACCTGTGATTCTTATCAGGTTTCGTTGTCAGGAATATATTTACTGTGCACCACACACACTATGTCAGAGATGTCACCGATCAGGATGATTATTTTACATCACAAAATCTGGTACATGTATTATCTACATTTTTTACCTCAGAAAAGGATGGAAAAACAGGCAAGCACATTAAACAACTTTGACAACGGCCAAAATGAGGTGGCTAGACAACTGAGCCAGTGTATTTCCAAAATGGCAGGTCTGGTTGGATGTTGGTTCTACGCAGTGATAATTCTGACATAAACTAGTCCTAGGAAGGACAACTGATGAACTAGTGACAAGATCATGGGTGCCAAGGGCTCACTGATGCCCCTGAAGTGTAAAAGCTGGCTCGTGTAATCTGATCTCAGAGAAGAAATACTATAGCAAAAACCACTGAAAACAGTTACAAGCAGAATCAGAAAAAAGTTTACTCATCTATTTGGGGTATTTGCTGTGTAACAGTTTTTTCAAATGTGTGGACGTTACAAAAGTGTACACGACTACAAGAAATACAATGCAATACTATTATACAACAAAGGACTACGGTTATAGTCTGTAGTGTAGTGTAACAGAATGGATAATATGACACACGGTTACCAGGCTAGTAGAGGGATGTTAATCAAGCTGGCATGTGAAATTGACTTGGGTATGTACGGTTAAATACGCAAATTATACAAACATTCCTTTACAATAACTTGATGAGGGTGGCACTATTCATTGTTAATAAAAGTGACATGCCCTCCACCTATTTCCTTGCTATTCTCAGTTTTATTACTGGACCATCTGAAAATTGGGATTCAGAGTAATTCCTGTCGCCATGTGTCTGTGAAACACATAACAGTGTACTCATGGAAGTCTCCTCGATTCCTCATCTGGGCTGTTCGCTTGTCCATTTCATTGTTAAGTGATCTCACATTGCCCATAATGACAGATGTGTGATATGGCTTACATTTCCCCTTTTCCACAACTCTCTGTTGTCTGGACCCATCTCTATTCACCTAGTACTGACTCAGCACAGACAGCGATTCACAGTTTGTTGTGAATAGGGCTGTGCAGCTGCAGACTGGTTACAGAGCCCATGTTGACCCCTGTCCACTGCCACCATGCTCCCTCACCATGTAGAAATGGAAGGAAGTGGATTTGGTTTGGTCAGATGAGTTACATTGTTTTGCCTCCACACCAGCAACAGCGGAGGCATTATGCTTTCTGTTTCTCAATCTGTCTGTACTTATGCCCAAAAGTCCCATTGTCCTGAATTCAATATCTACTGAACGCCAGAAGGCAATTCCATCAAATTTGGCACATGAACTAATTTTACTTTTGGTGATCAAAGGGCAAAGGTTACCCTGACCTTACGAAAGATGTTTTTGGCCTAAACTCAAGAATTTGTGGTTCTAATTATGCCAATATTCCACACAATAAACTGATAAACACTTCAAAGGTCAAAGGTCATGTCTGGACAGACATGAATGTAAACTGCAATTTTAGTGGTTGGAGAACTCATACAGCCAGGAGGCGGTCATTCTAGACTTTTACATCATGTGCCTAGCCAGGTTCATGTGTATCATTTAAGAGATGGCAGCTGGCTGCTCTATGGGAAGAAGGCAGGCTGTGTAATTGTCTGGTAAATGTTCTGCCAGAAAACCAGATTTCAATCCTTTCATTCATGTTGATGTCACTTTGGCATGAACTACCTATGTCGACATTGTTCCATACCATGTACACCCCTCTATACCAATAATCTTCCTTGAGGGCAGTGGGTGCTCTCAGCAAGATAACGCTCCCTACCACACTGCATAAATTCTTAAGAAATGTTTTAGGGAACATAACAGAGAGTTCAGTGTGTTGGCTTGACCTTTCAATTCCCCAGCTCTGAATCTGATTGAGCATCTGTGGGATGTGCGGAAAAAAGAAGTTCAATGCATAGAGGCCCCACCCAGCAATGTACAGGGCTCAAAAGATATACTGCAAACATCTTTGTGTTTGATATCACAGGGCACCTTCAGTGTCTTCTAAAGCTCATGCAATGAAGGTTCAGAGTTGATTTGGTGGCATGAAGGGAACCTACTCAGTATTACACATGTGATTTTGATTGTGTGACTGATTAATGTTTTTCCTTTGATGCCATCCTACTGTCTAAATATGATGTCCTGCTGATCTTGG